CAGTGAGCTACTGAGATCGTGTCATTGCACTCCAACCTAGGTGACAGAGCAAGACTCTGTCTTAAAAAAAAAAAAAAGTCGTAGTTTAAATAAGGTAGAGGTATTTTTCTTTGCTTTCTTTCTTTTTTCTTCTGAGATGGAGACTCCCTCTGTCACCCAGGCTGGAGTGCAATGGTACAATCTCAGCTCACTGCAATCTCAGCTCACTGCCTCTTGGGTTCAAGTGATTCTCCTGCCTCAGCCTCCTGAGTAGCTGGGATTACAGGCACCCACCACCATGCCCAGCTACTTTTTGTATTTTTAGTAGAGACGGGATTTCTCCATGTTGGCCAGGCGGGTCTGGAACTCCTGACTTCAGGTGATTTGCCCGCCTCTGCCTCCCAAAGTGCTGGAACTATAGGCATGAGCCACTGCGAGTCTGGAGGCAGGCAGTCTAAAGCCGGCATGCTGCTCCGCAGTTCAGGAACCTAAACTCCTTTTGTCTAATTACATTACCCCCTCAGTACACGGTTGCCACTTCATGGCCCAGCATTGCTGCTCAAACAGCAGCCCTCACATCTGCACCCCCCGAGGGTAAGACTTTTAGCCATTAGAAAGGAGAAGGAGCCAAGGAGGGAGGAAGATTCCCTTAAAGACTCTTTTGGAAGTCATCTTATTGATGTTTCATTGACTAAACTTGTTCACATTGCTACACTATGCTACAAGGGAGGCTGAGAAATATGATGTCTGTTCCAGGCGCCATGTGTCCAGATGAAAATTGAGGCTCTTATTTCAAAGGAAAAAAGTCAGCACATGATCAGGTGTGGTGGCTCACACCTGTAATCTCAGCACTTTGGGAGGCTGAGGCTGGCGGATCACCTGAGGCCTGGAGTTTGAGACCATCCTGGCCAACAGGGAGAAACTCCATCTCTACTAACAATACAAAAATTAGCCGGGCGTGGTGGCCCTTGCCAGTAGTCCAGCTACTTAGGAGGCTAAGGCAGGAGAATTGCTTGAATCTGGGAGGCAGGTGTTGTAGTGAGCCGAGATCGCACCACTGCACTCCAGTCTAGGCAACAGAGCGGGACTCTGTCTCAAAAAAAAGTATCAAAAAAATTGCATAGTCTGGATATTGGGAAATAACCATCAGGCTATGTCACACTCAGGAGTTCCATGTCTAGGAGTGTGTCCTATAGGCATGCTTAACCCATGTGACCTTTGACACGGACATTTACAAGGTTTCACTGCAGCGTAGCTTGTGACAGCAAAAAATTGTGGGACATCCATACAATGGAGCACAGCAAAGCCACAAACACACATGAGGAAACTCTCAATGCACTAATATGAAATGGTATTTAAGATGTTTCACTTTGGAAAACAGTTTGGGAGTTTCTTGTAGTGTTAATACACCTCTTGGCAGGGTGCAGTAGCTCATGGCTATAATCCCAGCACTTTGGGAGGCTGAGGCGGGTGGATCATGAGGTCAAGAGTTCGAGACCAGCCTGACCAACATTGGTGAAACCCCATCTTTACTTAAAATACAAAAATTAGCCAGGCTTGGTGGTATGCACCTGTAATCCCAGCTGCTCAGGAGGCTAGGGCAGGAGAATCACTTGAGCCTGGGAGGTAGAGGTTGCAGTGAGCCAAGATCGCACCACTGCATTCCAGCCTGGGCAACAGAGCCAGACTTGTCTCAAAAAAAAAAAAAGAGTTAAACATACACCTTTCTTATGACCCAGCAAGTTCACCCCTAGTTTTTGCTCAAAATAAAAATATATCTGTGTACATGGCTCCACAAAGACAGAGTTTAACGTGTAATAGACAACAATTGGAAGTGGCCAAGATCCATCAGCCAGTGAATGGATAAACTGGTGAGCTATATAGTTAAATATTACACTGCTGTATAAATGAGCGATCCAATGCATGCAACCACATGGATGAATCTCAAAACATGCTGAATGAAAACAAGCAGGTCCAAACAATAGCATGCTGTAATGATGCCATGTCTATGAAATTCTAGAACAGGCAAAACTAACCATCTATGGTGACAGACAGCAAAGCAGTGGCTGCCTGTGGAGTGGAGGGATGGACTGGGAAGGAACATAAAAGAATTACTTGGGATGCTGGCAATATTCTGTATCATGATTGGGGTGTTGATTACACAGGTGCATTCTACTGCATGTAAATTATACCTTGATATTTTTAAAAAGCGGGGCGCAGAACAGTGTGTAAATTACGGAATCTGGTATGTTTAAAAAGCAAGGAAATGTGCTTGTCTCTGCATTGACTGTCTAGATGAGACTTGTAATAGTGATTGTCTATGGGAGGGGAACTGGGTAGCTAGGGGTTGGGGAAAAGGGACACTTTGGGCCATATCCTGTTATACCTGTTGAATCTTAAACCAATTGAATGTACTAGGGAATTAAAAATGAAAACTGAAAAGATCAGTTAGATGCATACTTGACATCACCACTTCCAAGTTTTAAATCTCTTAATGGCTCTTCCCAGCAATCTGGACGAAGTTCAGACTCTGAGCTGTCCTGGCCTTACGTGGCCCTGCCCAGGCAGCATCCTGTCCAGCCACTTTCCTGTTCCCTGCAGGGACAGCTCAGTGCCTGGCTCCCTCTGGTCTGCCTAAGTGCATACGTGCCATTCCCTGAGTGCTCAGCTCCTTGGTGAATTCTCCCCAGCCCCTTGCCTGAGTTGGTCCCTTGGGTCTCACTGGACCTGCCGCACTTTGCCTTCCCCTCTTCCTGATCTGTCAGATCAATACAGAGCTCTCTGTGAGCTGGACCCTAGAGTCCTGGAGATGCATGGGAGCCATCTTTATGGGGGAACCTGCTTCCATGTTTCCCCTTCAGACAGCAGGTTTCTCCTGCCCTGAGACTCCCAGCAGAGTCCCCTCTTCCCAGGTCCAGAACTGGCTTGGGATAGAAACTTTGATAAAATGTTAAATGATGGTTTAACTTAAATGATGGTTGCATAAAGAATACATTGCATGACAAGAACCAACAGAGCTCTGCTTTCTTAGAAAATATAGAGAAGGCTGGGCACGGTGATTCACACCTTTAATCCCAGCACTTTGGGAGGCAGAGGCAGGCGGATCACCTGAGGTCGGGAATTCGAGACCAGCCTGATCAACATGGAGAAACCCTGTCTCTACTTAAAAAAAAAAAATTAGCTGGGTGTGGTGGTGCATGCCTGTAATACCAGCTACTTGGGAGGCTGAGGCAGGAGAATTGCTTGAACCTGAAGGCAGAGGTTGTGGTGAGCTGAGATGGTGCCATTACACTCCAGCCTGGGCAAAAAGAGTGAAACTTTGTCTTGAAAGAAAGAAAGAAGAAGGAAAGGAAGGAAGGAAGGAAGGAAGGAAGGAAGGAAGGAAGGAAGGAAGGAAGGAGAAAGAAAGAGAAGGAAGGAAGGAAAGAAGAAAGGAAGGAAGGGAGGGAGAAGAAAGAAAGAGAAGGAAGGAAGCAGGAAGGAAGGAAGGGAAAGAAAGAAAGAAAATATAGAGAAAAACAGCTGCTGTGGGAGAATTGCATCTGCCAAAAAGATACATCCCAGCTCCAACCCTGGGACCTGTGAGTGTGACCTTATTTGGAAACAGGGTTTAGGCAGATGTAGTCAGGTCAGGATGAGGTAATACTGGATTAGGATAGGTTACTCCAATGACTGATGTCCTTATAAGAGGGAAACAGACACAGAAAAACACCACATGACCACAGAGGCGCAGACGGGAGTGATGCATCCACAAGGCAAAGGAGGCCAAGGAGGCTTGCAGCCATCAAAGCTGGGGAGAAGCGAGGAAGTGTCTTCCCCTAGGGCCTTCAGAATGAGCATGGCCTTGTGGGCACCTTGATTTCAGACTTTCAGCCTCCTTCACTGTGAGAATAAATTTCTGTTGTTTTAACCCACCCAGTTTGTGGTTTTTTGTTCTTTTTTTTTTTTTTGAGACAGAGTCTCACTCTGTTGCCCAGGCTGGAGTGCAGTGGTGCGATCTTGGCTCGCTGCAACCTCCACCTCCCAGGTTCAAGCGATTCTCCTGCCTCAGCCTCCAGAGTAGCTGGGACTACAGGCACCTGCCACCACATCCAGCTAATTTTTGTATTTTTAGTAGAGGCAGGGTTTCACCATGTTGGCCAGGCTGGTCTTGAACTCCTGGCCTCAAATGATCTGCCTGCCTTGGCCTCCCGGAGAGCTGGGATGACAGGTGTGAGCCACTGCGACTGGCCTATGGTTGCTCCTATAGTCCCAGGAAATGAATACACACAAAACCAGTTAATATCTAAAGCAATTCCAGCTAATGGCAAGTGCTTTGGAAAAACAAAACAAAACAAAACAAAACAGGTGAGCAGGGCAAGGGATAGAGAGTGATGGGGAACTGTGCCTCATTAGCCAGGGTGGTCAGGGAAGGCCTCTTGGAGGAGGAGGCGTTTCGGTGGAGAGGAGAAGCCCAGCATGTGAGGATCAGGCACAGGTGCTGGTGAGGGGGCACTTGGTGGGACTGAAAGCTACAGGATGCAGCTGTGACAATGGAGGATACTTGGCTGGGATTTTGGGGGAAGTCTCCAGGAGTGAACCAGGAAGGACCGTCCTCTTTTTGCCTCTGCAGGTCTCAGAACCTGCTCTGTGTTTGCTGCAGGCTGTCCCTCGGCCTAGGCCGGCTGGCAGCTGATGAAGGAGGCCAGCCTCGCAGCTGACATGCTGCTCTCTAATTGTGATTAACTACCAAGTCCTCTCCTGCTCCGGCCTTGGCCGGAGGTGTGACAGCTGCAGAGTGAAGCAATGAGGCCAGGAAGGGGTTAATGGGCGGCCCCTCCATCTGAGCCCTTCAGACAATAAGGGGAGGTGGGGAGGCCTCTGGTGGGGGTGAGTGGCATCAGCTGGGGTGACTGAATGGAGGGGACAGAGGCCTTGTCCCTGGGGACAGGGCGTGAGTGCTCTGTGGGGAGAGGGGTCAGACCCCTCTCCCGTTATTTTCATCCACCTTCAACGTCCTCTCCTCTCCCCCACCCGGCTAGAGCATCCCAGACAACTGCCCTTTCAGCTCCAAAGCGTGCAGCCTCATCCGCCCTCTGGAATTCTGAAGCAGAAATTCTAAAAGCCAGAGAACCGCAGAACCATGACACATCACCGCTGCAGGTAAGAGAATCACTGGGGCATGGGAGGCGGAGGTTGCAGTGAGCCGAGATTGTGCCACTGCACTCCAGCCTGGGTGAGAGAGTGAGACCCTGTCTAAAAAAAAAAGAAACTGACAAACTGGTTTTCAATATAGCTATGCCATTTTGCATTCTCTCCAACACTTAGTATTGTCAGTTTTTAAAAAACATTTAGATATTTTAGGACAGGCACAGTGGCTCATGCCTGTAATCCCATCACTTTAGGAGATAGAGTCTGGTGGATCACTTGAGGTCAGGAGATCGAGACCAACCTGACCAACACGGAGAAACTTCGTCTCTACTAAAAATACAAAATTAGCCAGGTGTGGTGGCGCATGCCTGTAATCCCAGCTACTCGGGAGGTTGAGGCAGGAGAATTGCTTGAACCTGGGAGGTGGAGATTGTGAGGAGCCGAGATCGCACCATTGCACTCCGGCCAGGGCAACAAGAGTGAAACTCCATCTCAAAAAGAAAAAAAAAATTAGGTATTTTAATAAGTATGTAGGCTGGGCGCAGTGACTCATGCCTGTAATCCCAGCACTTTGAGAGGCCGAGGTGGGAGGATCATGAGACTAGCCTGACCAACATGGCAAAATCCATCTCTACTAAAAATACAAAAATTAGCCGGGCATGGTGGCACGTGCCTGTAATCCCAGCTACTCAGGAGGCTGAGGCAGGAGGATCGCTTGAATCCAGGAGGAGGAGGTTGCAGTGAGCCAAGATCACACCACTGGACTCCAGCCTGGAGTAACAGAGTAACTGTCACTGGGTAACAGAGTGAGACTCTGTCTAAATAATAATAATAGTAATAATAATAAGTATGTAACAATCATAGAGCTATTGTGAGGATGAAACGAATATATCTGAGAATACTGTCTAGCACATGGCTCCTGCCTGGGAAAAATAAGCTCCTTCTATTGCCATCACTATTGGATTAGGTCCTGCCCAGGACAAAATCAGAGGTGAAAACAAAAAAACTCAGGTGGGCCAGTAGGAGGCTGTGGGGAGCCAGTGAGCTCATGCCCCATCTTGAAGGTCAAGGTCCCGGGAAGCAGCCCCTGAGATGGAAATCTGAATATAGGTGGTTTTCCAGAGAGTGCTCTTAGGATCTTGGAGGAGCCAGGGAAGCAGGCTTAGGCAGTTGCAATAGAGGCCTTGGCCAGTCCCATCAGGAGCTGGGCCAGCCCTTAGGACATGTCACAGCCTGAGATAGGGAGGTCACACCTCTGTACCCTGCAGTGATCAGATTTTGGATGGCTGCCCACAGGAGAGATGTTGTTAATATCTTGGGTAAACTGGGTAAAGCAGCCTCTTTAAGGTGGTGTCTGGATCCGGGTGACGGCTTCGAGGTGGAAAAGCAAGCGTGAGTGGTCTCAGCTTTCAGCTTTTCAAGAGAAGCTATAAATCTAGATTTTGATGTTAACTCACCAATTTTTTTTTAAATGCTGGAAACTCTAGACTTTTCAAACCTGCTGTGAGGGGCTCACATGCTAGGCACAAGGGCTGGAGGAGGCCTGATGCTGCCTGCCGATGCCCCTTGATATAAAACCAGGCTGGGCACAGTAGCTTATGCCTGTAATCCCAGCACTTTGGGAGTCCGAGGTGAGTGGATCACTTGAGGTCAGGAGTTTGAGACCAGCACGGCCAACATGGTAAAACCCCGTCTCTATTAAAAATACAAAAAAAAAAGTAGCCGGTAGTGGTGGCTCACCCTGTAATCCCAGCTCCTTAGGAGGCTGAAGCAGGAGAATCGCTTGAACCCGAGAGGTGGAGGTTGCAGTGAGCCGGGATTGTACCACTGCACTCCAGCCTGGGGAACAAGAGCAAAAAACTTCGTCAAAAAAAAAGAAAAAGAAAAAACCAAACCTGCTGTGTCATCTGACTTCACACTAGTGTCTGATTGCCCCACTGGAGAGGAAACCCTATGGGGCAGAAATCTTTGGGTTTTGATCTCCACCATATCCCCGGCATCTAGGGCAGGGCCAGGCCTGGATGCAGGATGAGAGAAGGAACCCGAGGCCAAATGAGTAATTTGCCTCAGTGTGCAGGTTACTTAATTGCAAAGAAAGGAAAAACAACAGTGACAGAAAACAACCCAATGGAAAAATGAGCAAAGGACTTGAAGAGACATTTCTCCAAAGATGTACATGTGGCCAATAAACACAGGGAAAGATACTCAGAATCACTAATCCTTAGGGAAATGCAAGTCAAAATTGCAAACCTGAGATACTGCTTCACACCGATTAGGGTGATGATTATTAAAAAAATAAAAATAAAAATAAAACAGGCTGGGCATGGTGGCTCATGTCTGTAATCCCAGCACTTTGGGAGGTTGAGACAGGTGGATTACCTGAGGTTAGGAGTTCAAGACCAGCCTGGCCAACATGGTGAAACCCAGTCTCTACTAAAAATACAAATATTAGCTGGGTGTGGTAACACATACCTGTAATCCCAGCTCCTCAGGAGGCTGAGGCAGGAGAATGGCTTGAACCCATTGGAGGTTGTAGTGAGGAGCTGGAGGCTGCCGTGAGCCGAGATTGTACCATTGTCCTCCAGCCTGGGTGACAGAGCGAGACTCTGTCTCAAAAAACAGAAAACAAACACAAAACAGAATAGCAAGTATTGATGAGGATGTGGAGAAGTTGGAGCCCTGTGCATCCCAAGCAGAATGTAAAATGGTGCATCTGCTGCAGAAAACAGCTTGGTGGTTCCTCCAAAAATTCAACCCAGAATTATCGTACGATCCAGCAATTCCACCCAAAAGAATCAAAAGCCGACTTTAACGAATATTTTTACTTTCACATTTATAGTAACATTACTCATAATAGTCCCAAAGTAGAAGTAACTCAAGTGTCCAGCTGAATGAATAAACAAAATGTAGCACATATACACAATGGAATAGTATTCAGCCTTAAAAAAGAAGGAAATGTTGACACATGATTCAACATGGATGACTCCTGAAGACATTATGCTACGTGAAATAAACCAGTCACCAAAGAGCAAATGTTGTCGGATTCCACTCATCTGAGGTACCTAGAGCAGTCAGATTCATAGAGACAGAAAGTAGAATGGTTGTTCTGGGGCCTATGGGGAGGGAGGAATGGGGAGTTAGTGTTTAATGGGTACAGGGTTGCAGTTGTGCAAGATGAAAAAGATCTGGGCCAGGCGTGGTGACTCACACTTGTCATCCCAGGACTCTGGGAAGCCGCGGTGGGAGGATCACCTGAGGTCAGGAGTTTGAGACCAGCCTGGCCAACATGGTGAAACCCTGTCTCTACTAAAAATACAAAAATTAGCCAGGTGTGGTGGTGGGCACCTGTAATCCCAGCTACTAGGGAGGCTGAGGTGGGAGAATTGCTTGAACCTGGGAGACAGAGGTTGCAGTAAGCAGAGATTGTGCCATTGCACACTAGCCTGGGTGACATAGTGAGACTCTGTNAAAAAAAAAAAAAAAAAAAAAAAAGCACTACTGCTTTCATCTTGTCCACTCTCTTGGTTGCTGTCCCTGGGGAAAGGCAGCCACCATGTCATGAGGACATTTAAGCAGCCCGTGGACAGGAACTGAAGGTCCTGGGAAACAACCAGTCCCTTTGCCAACCCCTTCAAGCCTTCAGATGACCGCAGCCTCGTGAAAAATTTGGAGCCAGAGCCACCCTCCTAAGCCAATCCTGAATTCCTGATCCACACAATGGTTTGCGAGGTAAATGCTTACTGTTGTCTTAAACCAGTAAGTTTTACATTATTAATTATGCAAAATTTGATAATGATTCCTTAACACAGAATGATAGATACTATTTTTTTTTTTTTTTTTTTGAGACGGAGTCTTGCTCTGTCGCCCAGGCTGGAGTGCAGTGGTGCGATCTCAGCTCACTGCAACCTCTGCCTCCCAGGTTCAAGTGATTCTCCTGCCTCAGCCTCTCGAGTAGCTGGGATTACAGGCGCCCTTCACCAGGCCAGGGTAATTTTTGTGCTTTTAGTAGACGTGGGGTTTTACCATGTTGGCCAGGCTGGTCTCGAGCTCCCGACCTCATGATCCACCTGCCTTGGCCTCCCAAAGTGCTGGGATTACAGGCATAAGACAGCATGCCCGGCTGATAGATACTGTATTTTATTACATATGATAACAATTTATCTCATGCCCACACATCAAAGCGATCAAATCCTGTTTGTTCCTTCTTTAAATCCAGAATCTGAACGTCCTCCCACCTCCAAAGCCACCACCTGGGTCCACAGCCACCCCGTCTTTGCTCTCCCTGACCATTGCCACAACCTCCTCTGTGATCTCACTGCTTCACTCCTGCCCTTCTCCAGCCTGTTCTGCCCAAGCAGCCGCCCTGCTCCAGAAGCTGTCCTGCCCCTCACTGAACAGGTGGACCTGTGAGGGCAGAGGTGACCCCATGGCTTCTGGGAGGCTGCAGGAGACTGTCCTGGGAAAACAGGATTAACAGGGTCCTTCTGAGGGGAAGTCTTTATTAGAGGAGTGACTCCTGAGGTGGTCAGTGGCGAAGACGGTGTCAGGGCCAGGTGAGGAGTGTGCCCATGGCCCTGTTCCATTAATCTCCGCAGTTTGGATGACAGCCTGAGTGCGTGCATGAGTATGAAAGGGGTGTGTGTGTGCCTTATGCCTGCTCCTGGTGGCCAGGGGAGTGGGCTGGTTCAGTGCACAGACACTGTAGTTAAAAATCACAGCTCTGGCTGTGTGACTTTGGGCAAGTTGCTTAACCTCTCAGTGCCTCCATTTCCTCCTCTGTAACGTGAGACTAAAAATGCCACTCATACCTGCCTCACAGGGCTGTCATGAGGATTAAATAAGTTCATAGGTGCAGAAATGCTTAGGACAGGCCAGGCATGGTGGTTTACTCTTGTAATCCTGGCACTTTGGGAGCGAATCACAAGGTCAGGAGTTCGAGACCAACCGGGCCCATATGATGTAACCTGTCTCTGCCAAAAATACAAAAATTAGCCCGGTGTGGTGGCATGCGCCTGTAGTGCCAGCTACTCAGGAGGCTGAGGCAGGAGAATCACTTGAAACCAGAAGGCAGAGGCTGCAATGAGCTGAGATTGCTCCACTGCACTCCAGCCTGGGTGACAGAGTGAGACTCTGTCTCAAAAAAAAAAAAAAAAAAAGCTTAGGACAGTATCAGCGCATGCAGGAATTACATGGGGGTTGGCTGTTAATATCATTACAGGAGTGGATCAAATCCATCTCTGCCATGGACTTGCTGGGTGACCTAGCGCAGGTCACTTTGCCTCTCTAGGCCCAGTTTTCTCATCTGTAAAATGGGACCATATTGGCACTATCCATAGGGCAAGTGCGCAGATTTGAGGAGCTCGTATATGAAAAGTCTCCTTCAGGTGCAAGGTTGGTCCTTGGTTATGCACGGATGTGAGCCTCTTGGTGTGCCTGCATGTGTGGGGCATGGGCAAGCACTCAAGTGGCCTGGACTCCTCTCTCGGCTCTGAATGCCCCCTTCCTGGCCTGGGATCAGCAGGACCTCAGTCCATCCACCATCCAGGCATTCCTTTCTGGCCCTTTTTTCCTGCTTCTTGGGCGGCACCACCACCTACTGGCCCAAAGCTGCATTGCAGCCAATCTGCGTAGGAGAGCGGAGGGAAGGGAATGCGCACCGGGGCGGCTGCTGTGCGCAGAATATTTACCTATGTACACACCAAGATAGGTGCCATTACCTCTATTTTATATATACTGAGACTGAGGCTTAGGAAGTCACACAGAGAGAGCCAGCTGTGAAGCTGGGGTTAGAATCCCTGTCTCCCTTTCACCTCTACTCCAAACACCCTCTTAGAATGAGAACTCAGTTCAGGTTCTGCTGTCCTAGAGGATCCACCCCTCCCTTCTGAGTAGGGAGCCAGGAGCTGAAGTCTACGGTCCTTGGGAGAATGTCAGGGTTGTCCCACCACCCAGGGTCCTGATAGCAGAAGAAAGAACACTGGATTCAGAGTCCAGAGGTTGGGGAGTCTAGTGTTCCCTTCCCCACTCCTAACTGCCAGCAGAACAGCCTTTGGAAAGAATATACCCTGAGTGGGTATGATCCTTTCCATCCATGGCCCCACTCAGGATATATGCTCATACCCTGAGTACTTTCCATAAGGTAAAATATGGGCAGTTTTCTAAATATAGTCCTTTGCAGCAATAAATGCACTGATCATAAAGAACAGCAGTATATGGTGGCGATTGCATGCATTTGCAGACTGTAATTTTAGGTTCTGTTCTCTCTCAGGGGTGTGTGGGATTCTGAACAGTGGATCCACACCCCCACACCTTGCTCACAGCTGGGATCATGTCCAGGCAGAATCGCCCACATTGTGTACATCATTCTCCCTTCTCTCTTTCTGAGCACACGCAGTTGCATTTCCGAAGCTACGTAATAAAAACAGCTAACATTTATTGAGCTTTTATTATGTATTAGGCACTGCTCGGAGCCCTTTACTCATGCATTAATTCATTAATTCATATGATCCTCCTAACAGTGTTATGAGGTAGGTAGTATTATTATCTCTTCTCTTTACAGATGAGGAAACTGAGGCACTGAAAGGTTAAGTAACTAGTCCAAGGTCAAACCCAGCCCAATGGGTTCACCTTGTTCCTGGATGGGATTGCAGAACCGGCTAAGCTAGATTACCAATCTGGGTGGTGTCAGCTGATCCACCAGCTGCTGTAGTGCAGGGTCTGCAAAATATCTCAAGCACTGATCTTAGGTTTTGCAATAGTGATACTGTCCCCAGAAACAACTTGGGGAGGTTCAGGCCTTTGCAGCGGGGCTGCATGGCCCCTAAACCTTAATTTCTAATTTTGTAGCTAATTTGTTCATCCTACAAAGGCATACTGGTCCCCAGGAAAGAAGCAGGTCTTTTCAGGAAAGGGATATTGTCAACTTGTTTCGGAGTCAAACTATAAACTAAATTCCTTCCAAGGTTAGTTCAGCCTATGCCCAGGAACGCACAAGGACAGCTTAAAGGTTAAAAGCAAGATGGAGTCAGTTAGGTCTGATCTCTTTCACTGTCATAATTTCCTTAGTTACAATTTTTGCAAAGGTGGTTTCAACAGCCAGTGAGTGGTATGGCCTGGACTCGAAGCCAGGAAGTCTGGGGCTGCAACCCACACTCTTGGCTGACATGTTTGCCACCTGAACGGAGGCTCCGTGGAGCCATGTGTGTGTGCCTGTGTTCCTGTTCTCAGCCTACAAGCTCCGTTAGGCAGGCTAGAACTTTATCCAGGTCAACTCTGCATCCTCAGTGCTGGTCTATTCCATCCAGGGCCCCACTCAGGGTATATGCTTGGTGACTGTTGCACAAAAGCATAACGCTCACTTTGCATAAAGCTCACTTCAGTTTCTGTATCTGTAAGACAAGAATCAGAATCAGCTCTTCAGGAGGCTCTGACAAGCCCATTGATGGGAAAATTCTCTTTAAAGACACTGATATGAGGCCAGGCGTGGTGGCTTACACCTGTAATCTCAGCACCTTGGGAGACCAAGGCTGGTGGATCACCTGAGGTTGGGAGTTGGAGACTAGCCTGACCAACATGGAGAAACCTTGTCTCTAAAAAAAAATTAAATTAAAAATACATTTAAAAAAAGATATTGATATGGGCTGGGCACAGTGGCTTATACCTGTAATCACAGCACGTTGGGAGGCTGAGGTGGGTGGATCACTGGAGGTCAGGAGTTTGAGACCAGCCTAGCCTACATGGTGCAACCTCATCTCTACTAAAAATACAAAATATTAGCCAGGTGTGGTGGCACGCACCCGTAATCCCAGCTACTCTGGAGGCTGAGGTGGGAGAATCACTTGAACCTGGGAGGCGGAGGCTGCGGTGAGCCAAGATTGCACAACTGCACTCCAACCTGGGCGACAGAGCAAGACTCCATCTAAAAAACAAAAACAAAAACACTGATATAATTTGGATTTGTTTTCCGTCCCGAATCTCAGGAGGGGTTGTAATCCCCAGTGTTGGAAAAGGAGCCTGGTGGGAGGTAATTGGATGTTGGGGGAAAACTTCTTCCTTACTTTTCTTTTAGTGAATGAATTCTCATGAGATCTGCTTGTTTAAAAGTGTGTGGCACCTTCCCCCACCCCACTCTAGCCATGTAGGACATGCCTGCTTCCCTTTTGCCTTCTGCCATGATTGTAAGTTTCCTGAGGCCTCCCAGCCATGCTTCCTGTACAGCCTGCAGAATTGTGAGCCAATTCTTCTTCTTTTTTCTTTTTTTTAAATGAATCATCCAGTCTCAGACAGTTCTTTATAGCAATGTAAGAACAAAGAATACAGATGCTAAATTCTCCCTTGTCTACCTCCAGCTTGGTTCCTCCTTGAATTTTCAATCTACTCAACTTAGTGGCCTGCACCAGCTAGGGAGAGCTAATTGTGTGTATCTGTATCCAACTCTACATTCTGTAACATCATGTTTGTAGCTTGAAATCAGCAATGGTGAGTATTTACACTACAGCAATTGGCAAATGCTTCAAACAGGGGTTTTCCCCTCTAGAGATGTTAAACGTTTGCCACTGCCAGGAGGAAATGAATCCTCTAATGGCCACCTTCAAGGATACAGCACAGTGAAGTGATCATGTGTATTGGCACTGGAGCCAGACCACCTGGGTTCAAAGTCCAGCTCTATCACTTACCAGTTGTGTGACGTTCAGTTACTTAACCTCTCTGAGCCTCATTAGTCTCATTCATAAGATGATTCCCTATTTCATTAGGGACTCAATGCCATCTTCCATGTAAGTGCTCTCTCAATTAATGTTATATATTAATATTATCAATCAGCTTAGGAGGTGGATAAACTTTCTTGTTTTCCATCCTAGGAAAGGGATTGCTGAGGACAGGACTTGCAGTGTCAAAATGGAACCTTAAAAATGGCAATGCATAACTCCAGGTCTGGGCCATTTTTGAGGGTGTCTTGAGCACTGGCAGGCCAGATCTTTATGAGCCAATACAGGTTGTGTGTGTGGAGGGGGGTGCTGTGGAGCGGGGGTTGGAGAATGAGAGGCCTTCCCAGTTCTTGACAGGAAAGGCTGCCATTAGCTCTGAAGCCTAGAACAGATTTGGGGGGAGAGGTGATCTAACCAAACTTTCCCTCTGCCCTCGGCTTGCCAATCTTCTTGCTAGTGAACACTCCTAGTTTGAGGTAGAGGGCTTCCTGTTCCACCCCCTTCTTCCCTCTGTAGAGGAGGTATGTGTTGGGCAGGTGCGTGTAAGATACCCTCCAGGGAATTTTCCCATTTTTCTCCAGCACTGCCCCATCTGACATCCTGCCTGAAGCCACAGGTTTCCCTTGGAATCACTAAAGAAGCAGGAGAGAACCAGGAGAACTTCCTGCCCATGTGCACAAGAGGTGATCCAGAAACTTCAAGGGGAAAATCCTGCTCTTCACCCCAACACACCCCAATAGGCACTGATTTTTGGCTGCTAAGATTACAATCTCTCTCTCTCTCTTTAACACACACATGCACACACACACACACACACACACACACACACACACACACACACTTCTGTGTGCCAGGAAGTTCCTAGAGGGTCCTCACTCCTCAGATTCAGGTGCTTCAGGTGGCCCACACCTGGGAGGTGCCCACAACTGACCATGATGCGCACAAGACTGTGT